CCGGGCCTGGAGTGTATTCCTTTGGTTCATCGCGTTGTTCTTCATAGAAGAGCCTCCTATTGACTGGAGGTTTGTCTTCAGTTTGATTTTTTGGTTTGTTGGTGCTAGATTCACCTTGGTTTTTCGTTGAAGTAACCCCTTTGTTTGCCACAGCTTCTCTCTCAGCCTTTCGAATCCTTTGCTGTCTGCGCCACTGGGATCTTGACATGGGGTTCCTTCCTTTGTAATTTTCTAATCTCACCTCCTCCCTTTTTGCTGTGTTGAATTGCCTCCTGTATGTCACAGCATGGTGTGCATTTCGTTCAGCGTTTCTCCATCTATCTTTGCCTTTGTCATTTCTGACCTGTAACCATCTATCGGTTGGCACTTCAGCAGGGAGTTTGAAAGTCACTCTTCGAGCAGCCTTGGGGTGAGGGCTATCAGGCCTTCGCTGTTTGTGTCTGCTGTCGAAACGTGGGCCCATCTGGGCAGTTTCTTGATGGTTCCAGCAAGGGGTGAATGGAATCGTTTCGAAGGCCCTGGCCATGCTTTGGTCATACACAGCAGAACACCTTGGGCAAATCAAGCACTTGGTTGCCCCTTTGTAGCAGTGAAACACAAATTCCAGCAAACTTTCTCCAGTCTTGGGATAACACCTAAAAAGCTGGTTATCCTGGCGCCAATTGTTGCCAGTTCGAGTCCTCTGTACCCTTTCGAAATTCGCAGCGATTCTTTGATTGCAGAGGATGCTGCACCTAGGGCACAATATCATGCCTGAATCTCCTTTGTGGCATGTCATGAGATAATCCTTGAGACTAGCATCTCCAGTGTGATTATCCCCCATTCTATACTTTTCTTTTTCTAAGTATTTTTCCACTTCCTCCATCTTAGAGCGAGGTCTTTCCATATCCACCATATTTATTTCAACATCTCCCCCTTTAGCTTCATCATCACCCCATCCTGTGGGCTTTATATCCTCAATCTGAACCTTCGAACTCTCTGGGGCAGAATATTTGACCAAATAGTCAAATTTTCCACTGGGTTCCCCTAGAGTGTCCCATATTTCCTTCTGAAGGGAAATTGGCTGCGTGATTTGGGCTTTCTCCAATTCCAGCCTCAAGCCTTCAGTGACTTGTGTTAATTCTTGGTTTTGATTTCCCTGGCCTTCAGTAGCCTGGGTTTCTCTTGCAACAGCTACAGGTGCGGCAATCGGAGTCTCTGGCGTATTCTGGATGTCTTCAGTGACCTCCTCGCTGACTTCGACCATCACCCAGTTTTCAACTCCAGTACCCTTCTCTCCTGTTAGGGCGTCGCTTTGATCAGTTTCCACCATGTTGACCTCTCCAATGCATGCAGGCTCGGAGTAGTTGGTGTCTGCGACATCCAAGGGATCTTCGTCCACTTTCATCTTCACCTTATCAGCAAACTTTAGTCTGCCATCTTTGATCGCGTTTTGAATCAGGTCCCTGAAAAGAAAACATTGTGAGGTTTTGTGGCTTAGGAAACTATGATATTTGCAAAATCCTCTCTTCTTTCTCTGATCCAAAGGAGGTATTTTGACATTTGATGGCACAATTAGTTGGCCATCTTTGACAAGTAAGTCAAAAATCTCGTCACATTTAGTGACATCGAAGGTATAAACCTTCTTTGGAAATTTGTCACTTTTTTCATTTTCAACAATGTCTTTCCCTTTTGTGGGAACTAACAATTTGCAGGAATAAGGCGGGGCCTGTTTTAATTCAGCGAGGTCGATTTCGACCTCTTCGAATTCGAATTCAGGATATTCTTCTGCTTCCTCAGTCCCAACATAGGAAATCCTTTCTTGCTATTCTTAAAGACTCTGGCTTTTTCGGCCTTTAGTCTTTCGACCTGTCGAACCCTATCGGCTAACTGAGCCATATCCCTCAAATACTGAGTGTCTAGTTTCTTTCGAATAGAATAATCCAAGCCACCAGCGGCCATTTCGACTAACTCATGTTCAGGCACTACTGTGTAACATCTGGATTTCAAAAGCCTAAATCTATTCAAATAATCATCTATGGGTTCGGTGAACTTTCTCTTAACACTGGCCAATTCCTTCAAACTTATTTTCGACTGTCCCATGTAAAATTGTTCATGGAATAATCTCTCTAAGAGAGCCCAAGTGTCAATGGACCCAGGAGGCAAAGTGGTAAACCATGTGAAGGCGTTTTTTGTCAAGGAACTTGGGAAGTATTTGATCCTGAGATCTTCATTATTGGCTATATCTCCCGCTTCGGTTAGATATCTCACTATGTGTTCGACTGTTGACTCATTGGTATCCCCAGCGAACTTTGTAAATTTAGGGACTTTATATCCCCTTGGTAAATCAGTATGCATTATGCAATCCAATATAGGAGAAGCGTAATTTGGCCTTCTCATTCCTGTGTTGAGGCCATTATGGGCCATGACTCTCTCTATCATGGTGGTTAGGTTGTTTTCTGCCAAGATGTTATCGTTTCGAATTCTATGAACGACAACATCGGCATCTTGATTTCGACCAACCAAAACAACTCCCCTAGGTTGTTCTTCTCGAAACTCTGGGGCTTCTAGCCTTTCGACCCTTGCCCCTGGTTCCATAATTTCCCTTTGTGGGCCCGGGATTATTGGGGCTTCTAACCTTGGTGCCCTGGCCCCTAAGTTAACTTCTTCTCTGGGTGGTCTATAAATTGGGTCGTTAGCAATTTGTTCTATAACAAGCATGTTTGCTCGAAATCCCGCCTGATTCTGCCTACGCCTTTCTGGGGGAGCAAAGAAATCTGCTATTCGACTGATATTGTTAGCGTTTTCTCTGTTTGTCACAGTCACATTTTGCACTATTGGGGCAAATATCTCCTGCATGGTTTGTGCTAACACCCCTATCATATTATGGTTACTGTCATCCATCAATTGCCTAAAAGCCAACTGGTTGTCTGTGGTTAAGATAGGCATTGTGCTATAACCCACCGACCCTTGGTTATTTGTCATAAACTAATTCGCCCCAGACCCAGACCCTAGTTGTGGAGATGAATTCGATGTGGAATTGTGTAAACCTGCCATAAAAGATGTTGGCATTCCATAAGAGGAATTTCTGGTTCTATTCCCATCGAAACCGGGTGGTCTAGTTAATGGAGTGGCGAAATGGGATTGTGTCCCTGATGGTGGAACGAATCCCCCAGGGTAGCCAATGGTTCCAGTATTTCCTAAGATCGAACTATTAGTTGATATGCCACTTACTCCATTGGTGGCTATGTTACTGGTCGAAGATGCAACAGACTGTGCATTCGAAGGGATTACATTAGATGTTCCGATCGAAGTGGACGCATTAGTGCCTGTTGTATGTGGGCCATTTTGGTCCCCTTGTTGATTGTCTGAATTAGACATTTTGTCCAAACGTTTTCTTCTGAATAAAGGTTGGTTGCTGTTGGTTATCTTACCACTTCTCAGGTTCATAAAACAGCAAACTTCTTAGGTTCCAACGTTTTTGTAATGGTTATGTCTCAACAATCCTTATTTCTAATATCCAATTATTGGTCCCACTGGGCGTGCCAATTTGTTTCCAGTGATTTCTGGTAAACAACCGCTAGTCTTCCAAACTATCGAATAATCTTTCTGACTGTTATTCAATTCCTCTGGTAACTCACAGGATCGACTAGATTGATCCTAGGACTCCTTGGATATTAAGGTTACTCTTACGATCGAACAGATATTCATGGTTGATATTGTATATGTGTTTGGCTTATTTCGATTTCTCTCTCTAAAAGTCTAAAGATGTAATCAAAATGTGTGTGTGAAAACTAAGTTACATGAATAAATGCTAATTGTAAAGACATGTAAAATTGCATAAAAGTGAAGTAAATGGTTTCGACTTACAAAACAGTTAATATAAAGGATTTCTGGAACGTAAAAGGTTTGAAATATGAAGAAAGCGTTTAATGCAAGAAATCTTTAAATGACTTTAAGTAAAAATATGCGTTCGAAGGATAAGACTTGAAGGTAAAGGTATGGAAAATATGACAGTTTTCTGAGATATAAAGTGCTTGAAATATGAAGAAAACATTAAAATGTAAAACTTTGAAGAAGAGATTTCGAAGTGAAAAGACTGTAAATGAGAAAACTTGTAAATGTTATTTGACAAAAGGATAAAGGAAAGTGCTGAAAATGGTAAAAGGTTTTCATTAAATCAGAAATACATGGTGCTATCATACATACATTTCTCTTGCATTTGTTTCCCTTGCCATGTGGTAGTTTGAATGTTACTGAGTATTTTGTATAATAGATATGACACACCAAATCCTAATACTAAGACTTCTATTTATACTAATTCGACCATAACGGTCTTGCTATAGGATTATGCCACGTTTAGAACATGCAGGACAATGCCTCTTTCGTCTTTCCACGTGTCCCCAAATGCTCCAGCACATAACTTTCAAACTTCGAAAGTTCCGCTTCCATTTGAATTTCAAATGCTTTGGTACTTCTCCGTTTCGAACGCTCTTCCCAGACACAGCCTTGTTGTTATTTCGAGACTTCTTTAGATATGTTCCCATAATTGCCACTCGAAGCTCCAAGCTTTGACATACTTATTCGAAACACTGCTTCTGCTACTTCGAAACATGACGCTTTACCTCATTTCGATCAAAACGTTTAATTCATTTGGCTTCTAATAACATTATCAAAATCTTCAGCCAACAGCAGCCAGATGCTTTCTCCGATTCTCCTTGCTCAGCCGCCTAATGGTATCCGCTTCATCAACACTTACGGACAAGGGAAATCCCTCGAAGAAACCCTCCTCTTTAAAACAGGGGGCAACCCGAAGGACCTCACCGCACTAGAATCCTCGCCGACCTCCGGTTGGCTCTCCACCCGATTCCTCTTCCTTGGTATCAGGTCGGTATGGGGCTCGACATCCTGAGCGTCCGGGGACCCTCCAGAAGCACCGCCCGGACTAGTTGGTGGGCCCATCCTCGTCGCCTGAGGAGCTCGCACCACTCTCTTATTGACTTTCTTATCCTGTGTCAGCTTCAGGAGCCTCTCCTTTCGTCCAGCCATGAGACCTGCATAAAATGACCCCGGGTTAGTGACGAGCAAATAAACAAACGAAGACAATCAAACAAAACGAAAAAAGTAAAAGACCTAGCAGGTTCTTGGCCTGCCCGAAGGACTGGCATTCCACGAGCGCCTTCGTATCGATAGGTCGGGCCTCAAAGGTCGGATAACCATCTTCGTCAAGAATATCCTTCCCCTCCCTCGTGGCCCACCGGGCGGGGAAGAAACTATCGACATATCGGCAAAGGGTACCATAAGCCTCCTCGTCTTCGGTGCTCATCCCACCTGCGGGGGTATGGTAGTGCCCGGTGCCGTGCTCGTAGTGACGCGAGGTCCAATGCAAAGGAAATTTGGCCACACGCCCTAACACCGGGCGTCCCTCGTCGTCCAGAAGAGCCTCCCCGTGATCGTCGGTCACAACCGTTTCTTCCTCGTATACAGACTCTAAATCCGTCTTAGTAACCGGCCGCACGATGTACCACTTGTCCTTGAAGCCCCGGACAGAATCCATGTACATCCTGAACAGTCTCTTCGACTGTTTCAGGGAGACCCAACTGTGCCTACCTCCCCGGGACTGGCGCTGTAAATGGAAGACGCGGAAGAAGAGAGGTATGGTCGCCCCAATCTTTAAAAAGGGACACGTCAGTTCGAACGCCCGGAGGAAAGCGATCGAGTTGGGGTGAAGCTGCGACGGGGCCAGTTCTAGATGACTAAAGACCCCGACCTGAAAATCGCTAAAAGGGAGCTGTAGTCCAAGGTCCTTGAAAGCAATCTCGTACATGGAGAACCCGTACTCGGGGAACTCCGAGCAAATCCGCGCGGTAAGAGTCGGTCTGATGACAACGAAGTTCTTCTGAAAACCAGGCTGACTACCGCCCTGCTCGATGATGGTATACGCACTTCGACTGCGTCGACTGTAGGCAGAGGCGATCCCTCTGGGCTCGGCGGCCACCAATTCCAGCAGAGGATCGTCGATGGTATCAACCAAATTCACATTCTCCTCGGCACTTTGGTCCTCCGCCTCAGTGCGCCCCGAGGAACACGGTTCGTCCGCCATTGTTACCTACAAAGCACAGGAAACCGGTCAATTGGGGAGCAAATCCACACGCTCGCCATAACGGACGGGAAGGAGGGCACGACAAACTGAGTCACTCCACGCACGACTAAAAAAGTTGGTGTTTCGAACAAGAAGAGTAGAGTCACCTCCCCGACTCCCAGATACCACGACAAGTCTTCCTACAGGTCGCCTAAATGGGCCAACATCTTGGCCACTCACGAATATGTCGACCTAGGCTATAAACATGGCGAGCAATATCATAAATCCCAAAACTAGAGCTATGAGTTTACCGGGCACTACCACGAATTAGGCGCCCTGAATCATGAAGATCCCGGGCAGCACCGCGAGTCAAATACCTAAACTATGCATTTACCGGGCGCAAACATGCGTTTGCCGGGCATAAACATGGATTTGCCGAGCCAAATACAAATCTACCGGGGCTAATCCCAGGCGTACACTCTCTAACATCTAAAACAATGAAAAATATCATACATCACAGAGGAAAAGCAAAGGGGACAAGACGCTTACTTGAAATCAGGAAAGAGGTGCGACGGCGGAAAAGGGAATCAGCGACGGAGAACACGGCGGTCCTATGAATATCTGGGAAGAACAGTAGCAGCAGAGGCAGAGGAAGGAGAAGAAGCGCGAAGAGGAAAAACATGTTCTGGGGCCCAATGACCTTATTTATAGGGATGACGTGGAATACAAAACGTCACCCCGGGGAACCACATACTTCCCTCCTCGACGCATAGCTCCCCTAGGCAATGATGACCCTATCTTCAATAGGGTGGCGGCACAGTTCCCAAGAGATGCCTTGTGTGCTCAACAAACACAGCCTGTCGAGAGTCCCCCGAGCACTCCTCGAAAGGAATTATCTCACGGGCGCGACACAGGGGAAACTCCTCGAGTAACCACGGGGAACTACATCTCTTGTCCGGGCACGGGACCCCGCGACGGAGGCGACCTAAGATCAAGTCATGACTCCTACTCCAGGAACCACGACTTGGGGGGCTCCTGTTCTGGACTGGGCCAGGCTGACCCAAAAGCAAGGATGAAGGCCCAATCCAAACGGCCTTGCAGGGGGTCGCGCCGACCAAGAAGCCATAGTCGTGCCCGACACTATCCGCTAGTACGACATCCTCGACTTCATGCAGTCCAGCGCGACCTCAGCTCGAGCGCCCCTCGTAGGGCAGACTATGACCATTACACCATCACCTAGATTCCGAAAAGACCGCGTCCTCGTCTGTCCGTACTTCTCGCAGAACACCCAGGAAGGAGACCACGTGCAGGTCCCCACTACACACGTAGAACCTGGCAGTTCCTTCATTGGGGCAAACCTGCCCGGCCCAATGAAGGGACCTTGGCCCAGCGCTGGGGGCTATAAATACCCTCTGTTCCTAGAGGGTCAGGTATTCATTCTCTTATCCATACTCATACTTTTTGCCTGCTCGTACTCTCACTTACTTTAGCATCGGAGTGCCTTGCAGGTACCCCCCCATCTCGTTCAACTTCAGCTCGGAACCAGTCGTGACAGTCCAAGTCTGATTCGGTAAGATCAAAAACTAAGATCATCAACATGCAAATTCACGAAAACAAAATTTCAATTATAATACATTCTTTGGACACATTTATAAACAATAAATTTTTTTTAAATTTATTAAATAAATAATGTGTTTAATTATTATTTTATACCAGATACATCAATTATTCAATTAATTTAAAAAGTTTTTTTTATTACTCATAAATATATTTGAAAGATGTATAGTGTAATTTATTAATAAAAAATTAAAACCAATTAAACCGAGTCGCCACAATACCAACACTGATTTTCTTCAATACAGGTTGTTTCACTCCCATGCTTTTCACTTCTAAACTCTATTTTGTATTCAACCATACACTTAATTAAATTTCTTAAACGATTCATCTTACTATAATATTTAAAATTAAATTTATTAATAATAAGTTACAAATTCAATGAAAAACTATCTCCTTGAATAAGCAATAGAAAATTTATGGAGGTTCAAATTTAAACCAATTCAAATAAAAATTGTAAACCGATTTAAAAAATAGAAAATCGTAAAATATTAAAATTTATTGGATGTATTTATATATTATTTTGTGAAAACTACACGGAGCGGATCAAATTTATTGGATGTATTATATATTATGTCAAATTTATTATTTATAAGTATTTTTATGATATTAGTAAAAATATAATTTATAATTTGAATATCTAAAAACCGATTCAAATTAAACTGCATTAAATTGAATCGGATTAGATTTTTTTAACGTGTCATCCAAAACTGAATTGAATCGCAAGTAAATTTATCTTTGAATCAGATAAATTTTTGCCTTAAAATCGATCCAAACCGAACCGCAAATACTCTTAAAAAAAAATCAATTCCAATACCAACACAGCAATTTTATTGAAAAAAGGAATGATTTTTTTGTATGATTTTTCATTGTTGTTTCAGTTGGTATTATATCATTTCAATTTCAACTGGTATTATATAACAAAGCAATGAAAAATCAATTTCAATCTCTTATTTCCCATCCATGCATACAAAATAGCAAAAGCTATGTAACAAAGTAATAAATGAAAAATCATAATACAAACTACAGAGAGAAAATTACAGAGAGAAAGAAAGAGAGAACTCTTTTTTAAATTTCTGCTACCCAACATACCGCAACCTGGATTGGAGCAATACTACTAAACCAATACTCCTAGTGTCTTGGAACTACATTACCATGAGCAATATATCCAAAACATTGTAAAAATAAATGTTGAAGAACCAAACTAATAAAAAACAACAATAAACATAAACCATCCTCTTTATTACCCTAACCTCTTATTAATTGTACTTCTAAATTGGTGTATTTTCTGCATACTGAAAAATAAATGAACATGTTAAGCTGCAAAATTATGCAAACTAAACAGTTTCCTCTGACATGCATAATAATATAATAAAAAGAGGTCACTGCCATCACTGGCTAGCTATTTCTTCGATCAACCTTACCCTTTTAGTTGAACATAAATAAATTAGCACATGTTGTTTAAATCAATCTCAATGAAATATGTGTTGAAATAATATAGTAAGTGTGAGTAAGTGAGGAAATAGTTTCACATTGGATAAGAATGTGGAGACTTAAATATATATATATATATATATATATATATATATATATATATATATATATATATATATATATATATATATATATATATATATATATATATATATATATATATATATATATATATATATATATATATATATATAAGTGGGAGAACCCACTCACCTATTACCTTAAAATTTTAGGTGGATAAATAGTGTGTCTCTCACAAATGTGTCTAATCCTACACTATTTATCGATACTCCCCCAACAGTAGTATTGGTTCGAGAATTAGCTACAACCAAACAATTAGTTAAAATGCTAGGATAATGCAATGTGATAAAAACTATTAAGTCAGTACTTCGATAGAGATTGCAGACTCCATACTTTTCCTATCATGAGTAAGTTACTTATACTCACCAGTATCACTGCATTTCTTCTCAGCCGATTCAAGATTGTTTGAAAATTCTCTTTCTTTCCCTTAGACCACATTACACATTGCTTAAGTCTCTTGATGAGATCCGTCTTATTCTCCATTTCTTTCTACAAAACAAAAGAAAAAAACCAAACCCAAAACCAGCTTAACTAACAGCAAAATCCAGTGAATAATCAAATTTAAAATCACCAAACTAACACAGCACAAACAATACACATACCTTAGTATCACGATGAATCCTCTTTTTCATCTTCTCATCCAACAAAGCATCTACTTCCTCTTCAGTAAAATCAACAATACTACATTCATATCCATCGGAAGAACCACCACCACCGCTAACTTCATTGACTTCCGATTTGTTGTTGAGTGCACCAAATGGAGCTCTACCTCTACCAAGTCCCACCAATTTTTCACCAAATTATCTTGCCGCTATCACGCAAACACATGAATCACCTTCTACCCGCCACCGTCTGAGTCTGTCGCGAATGCCCAGATCGGTGATGCACGACCTGACACGACCTGACACGGAAATTTGGAGGAGAATCCGTGAATATAACATTGATATGGAAATAGAAAGCGGTATGAAATTGGAGATGAAAATTGACCTATTTATAGATACGAATTCAACACAAATCAACGTATTGATGATGTGCTGACTCGGGTTTGGGAAAACATAAACCATTGATGACAGCTAAAGTGAATCGATGGAAAGATGAATCTGAATACATCGAATATGAGATGACTCAGGAATGGGAAAAGATAAAGCATTGGTTTTTTGAGGACCCGAGGTTGATTGGAAGTGGAATGGATGGCTTTACTCTGTGATTTCTTTAGGAACACGGGTTGCAAAGCCGTGTGTATCCTTTTTTCGGCGTTATGAATGTGTTGGAACCAATTGAATGAAAAAAAGGTTTTAAGAAAGATGATTGATAAAAGAAAGAAGAAGAGAGAGATTGCAAGTTTGTTATTGATGTGATGTGTTGCATTGTAAAGATTATAAACTAGAAAGCTCTTTATATAGGCATACAATACAACGTTCAGACTCAATTTGACTATATACAAGACCGTGGCCTAAAAACTACATTTCGACATACTAAGGTTCGACTATATTACATAATTGTTGTATTCGACTGACTCAATTTGACTATATACAAGACCGTGGCCTAAAAACTACATTTCGACATACTAAGGTTCGACTATATTACATAACTGTTGTATTCGACTCTGTCGAATACATTTGACAACCTAGCATCACTAGTTATTTGACATACTCCTATGCTCTTCGACAGAACAAGAATTATATCTCCTAACACACTCCCTAATTCATTTTCTCGAGACTTCTCATCCTGATACTTCTCTTTAACTCGTCGAATATGACTTTCTTCAAAAGTTTGGTGAATATGTCATCTAGTTGCACTTCTATCTTGCAATGCTTTAACTACAGCTTCCCTTTGTTGACTTAATCTCTCAGAAAATGATACATTTTTCTATGTGATTACTTCGACCATGACACACTGGATGATTCAACAGGTCAATAGCTGACTTGTTATCTACAAATAGTTTTATCTTCTTAGGTTCCAATATCTTGAGTTCCTCAAGTAACATTTCGATCCATGCTGCTTGGTATGCAGCATATGATGCAACCATATATTCTGCTTCGCATGATGACAAAGCCACAATGCTTTGGTTCCTCGAGCTCCAAGAGATTGGAGCACCTTCGATCATGAAAATATAGCATCCAGTGCTTTTCTTTTCGTCTTGATCTCCATTAAAATTTGCGTCAGTGTATCCGTGAACTTCGACATATGTGTTATTCTTCGACTTCTTTGGCAACAGAACACCATGATCAATTGTTTCCTTTATGTATCTCGACACCCTATTTACCGTAATGAGATGACACTCTTGGGGTATCTCCATATATCGACTCAACAATCTGACACTTTGGCAGATATCTGGTCTAGTATTGCAAAGATACCTCAAGGATTCAATGATTTGTTTGTATAATGTCGAACTTACAAACTCATCATTCGTTTCCTTTTTTAACTTTGTTCCAGTTTCTAATGGAGTGGAAGTTACATTACAATTGCTCAGTTTGAACCTCTTTAGTATATCTTGGGCATACTTCGTTTGATGCAAGAATACTCCTTCTTCAGTATCTTTGAATTTCATTCCTAGGAAATATGAAAGATTCCCTAAGTCGGACATTTCAAATTCCTGCATTAGTTTCGACTTTACTTTCATTATCTCAACTTTGTCTGCGCCAGTAATGAGTAAGTCATCAATATAAAGGCATAAAATGATTCGACTGACACTATTGATATCATTTACATATACTCCATATTCAGAGACACACTTTGTGAAACCTGCTTCGATCATGAAGCTATCTATTCTCTTATTCCAATCTCTAAGAGCTTGTTTCAAACCATAGAGAGCCTTCCTTAATATATATACCTTCCACTCATGCCCTTTGATATCGAATCCTGGTGGTTGAGTAACATAGACCTCTTCTTCCAATGGACCATTCAAAAATGCTGACTTTACATCCAATTGATGTATCTTCCATCCTTTATGTGATGTTGTTGAAACAACAATTCTGATTGTTTCTAGCCTGGCAGTAGGGGCATAGATTTCGTCAAAGCCGATACCAGGTTTTTATAGAAAACCTCTTGCCATTAATCTTGCTTTATACTTCACAATCTCACCATTTGGCCTTCTTTTCATCTTGTAAATCCACTTTAAATATATTGGTTTTTTATTGGTTCTTTCGACAAGCTCCCAGGTCTTGCTCTTCTCAATAGCCCTGAGTTCTTCTTTCATGGCTTCACGCCAATTCAAATTACTCATGGTTCCACCCAAGTCAATTGGTTCTGCTTCATCCATCACCATGGCTTCTTCAATTAAATCACCATTTGCATCAATTGCTTGATCTAAAAATCTTACATATCTAGCTAGCCTTGTCGACTCAGTTCTTGTTTTTATTGAAATTCTTTCATTTTGCACAAGTGGTTCTTCATTTTGACTGATTGAAGCTTGTTCATTTCTACTTGTTGTAGCTTCATTATGTTCATTTCGAATCATTGAAGCCACATTATGTTGATGTTCTTCGAACACATTCGTGATTGTATCTGATTTTTGGTCAACATCCTCATTTTGAAGTATATTTCATCATTTGATCAAGGGTTGATCATGATTCATCAAGGATTGCTCATAATTCATCAAAAATCAAAAGTTGCTAAATTAGGGTTTTGTAGGAAAAGTCAACTCAACTTTGACCAAGCATAACTTTCTTATACTTTATGAGAAATGACCCATCCAAAGCTCATTTTAAAGAGGATTCCATGCTCTATGATCCATCTTCAGCTCCCAAGTTCAAAATATGCACTCACAAAAGGTTATGAATTTGGACATTATAGGTCATTTTGAAAAGTCAATTAAAACACCTTTTTTGTCAAAGCTTCATACATGAGCATGTAATATCAAATTGAGATGAGACCAAAAGTATTGCTTAGAGGACATATCAATCTTTCTAAAAAGTCCAAGAACACTTTTAAAGAGTCAAAATTGAGGAAGTTGTGCATTGGCGAAGTTGACCTTTTTTACAAAATTGTCAAAAGTCAACTATGCCTAAAACTTCAAATTTTGCCAAATGGGCCCAATCTTTTGCACTTGTTTTGAGTTGGCAACATGGTCCACGAGCCCTAGCCCTTGCCACTTGTCATTATCTTGTTTTTATTATTTATTTTTATTTTTATTTGAATTAAATCAATTTAAATCAAAACAAATCATAGAAAATCCAAAATATTGAAAACTCAAGATTTTTTACATTTTTCAGGTCTTAAATTCCAGCTAGCATGAGATCAAATTCGTGTAAAGGCATGGGGTGCACAAAAAGATTGAATTTGCCTAATTTTAGAAAGATGTTAAAAAGTGAATCAAATCCAAATCAAATTCATTGATGGAGGAAGATTGAGATCAGTTTTGGAACCCTAATCCCTTCCTCAATACATATAGAAGGAATGCAGACCTAAAACTAGGTTAGAAGGAGGCGCAGCATCAAGAACAAAACTTGAAAAAAACAAGAAAAAGTGCAAACACGAATTCCTACTTAGAGGCCAATTCAAGACCCTTGGACCATCCCAATCGCTTCCTGGGGTTGTAAGCAAGCGAAATCAATCAAGAACAAAGCCTTTCCAGTACCAAAAAGTGTTGTAAGTCAGTCACGACTTTGCTATTTTCTTGAATTCGAATTGCATCATTCTTGTACTTGTAGCATGAAATAGTTATAGATTCTTACTCCTAGGAACATTTGCAAGCTTTATGTAATCTTTAATTGTGTTTTCATGGCATGTATGAAGTTTCACCATTATTAGGGTTTGTAGCTTCGATTTGGGAATTCTGTGTGCAGGCAAAATTAGGCCATGAAAGGGCCACCATTATACTCAGAAGGTCTAGACGAAATGATTGGTGGCCCTAGTTTTTATTTATCTTGCTCATGGTTGATTTTAAGAGAACGCAGGTTTGTAGTGACGGACGAACGTCCGTAGGTAAAAGTGTGGGACTTTTACCCACGGAGAGGGGAAGAAGATGATTAGCTGACACCTTCCCATTGGATCATTTGAATTTCCGCGCGCTGAATTGATATATATAGCCTTTTTAATATTTGATTATTATTTTGTATTATTATAACAACTAACACAAATGGCCCAGTGGTAGTCAGGCAAGCGTTAAGGCGTTGGGGAGCTTGAGGTCAGGGGTTCGACCCCTGCCTCCAACGTTTGTATTTTTCTTGAATTCTTTCTACAGATTCCATGCGCTTACAAGTCCCAGGCCTATTATACACCCTCATCATCCAGCTTGCCAAGTGGCCAGATGGCCAGATCCAAGGGCCATCACTGAAGGAACACCAAAGGCATGGTCAAAGCAAATGCATGGGATTCTCGAAGTCAACGTGGACTTCCTTACTTTGGGCCCAGAAATCTGATTTTCACACCCCCCCCCCCCCCAAATTGCTATTTTCAGGCCCAATTTCTTATTCCTTTTCTTTTTATATTTTACTTAATTTATTTTATTTATTTATTTTACTAACAAAATTATTTTATTTTTATCAAAAAATCACAAAAATAATATTTTTCACCAAATTTAGGTTTAGATTTTATTTTTGTATCAAAAATTTAATTAATTTAATTAGGTTGTTAATTTTAGATAACTTTAATTCTTTTTGCAAATAAATTAACAAATAATTAGAAAATTAGGGTTTTGTCTAAACTTAATTACATTTTCTTTTTCTTAAAATAACAAAACATAAAAAATAGGCCATTTAATTATTTTCATTAATTAATTTAATTAGCTAATTAATTTAGTATTTAATTTAAAACTTGATTATTTTATTAAAAATAACAAAAACAATTTTTTCTTTAAATTAGGCTAGAGGGGTCAAAACCCTAAGTTCTCTCCCGATCTAATTTCCTTGTGCACGCTTATTTGTTTTATTTTTATCCTATTATTGTAACTGCTCACAAGGTTGTAATAGTTTTAATTAGGTCTTTATTTTCATTTATCGCTTTACTTTTTAAGGGTTTGTTTTTGGCTATGTAAATACCCGAAGCCTTGTAATAGCGTAGTTTAATTTCTGCACTTTTAATTCCGCAAAATATTAAACTGTTAGATGTATGATATAGGGAT